GAAAACTGGTTTTACCGACCCTGCACATCCCCCTCACATCGAATGTGCATGATGATTCTGTTTAGTCAACGTTGGTTCTCATTGTACGCATCGTCCTGTTTCCTGCGAGACCTCCATTGCTTCATTGTTTGCGCGCTGTTCCCTCTGACGATATGGAAATCTACGATTCTGGGTATGCTCATTGCAGCAGAATTCGCTGTTCTTTCACTTTGCCTATGCTGTGGATTCGTCTTACGTCGCATTTGCATGGCTTCTGCATTTGCTTCTCTTCCGCGATTCCTATATTCCGGTTCCGTGTCTCGTTGCGACTGCATTGCAGCTCTGTTCACTTCTCTTTCCCGCACTTTATAGTGCGGATTTCTGTCCCGCCGAATCTGCATTGCAGCGCTGTTTGCTCCTCTTTCCCTCCTCCGGTGTTCCATGTTATACTGCCTTCAAATTCTCATAGCATTCCTGTTCGCGGCTCTTTCCTTTCGCACATGTTCATCACCGGCCCGGCGAATTCGCATCCTTTCTACTGCGCGCAGCCGCTCCTCATCTTCTTGGTTATGGGCGTAGCGGATATTCTGCTGGCTTGTCGGCTGAATATCCGCATGTGCCCATTGCATCGGTTCTGCACCGTCACCTGCAACAGTTGCTGTTTTAAATATGTATGGTATGCTGTAGCAACTTCTAAAGTTGAAGAGGTGGGATTTTGCTAGAGATAACATTTGGAGCGAAATGTTTTTGTTTATTGGGCACTGAAATTGCATATGTGGGACGCCCCGTTAAGGGAAACGCAATTTTCTGGAAGTTCGGATTGCGTGCCTCTTGCATTGCCAAAACCTCATTCAGCTTATTGTTGTTGGTGGGGCAAAAAATGATGGGCTTGTTGCGGGAACCTAGATGAAGACAGGGAGATTGGTTTTGGAGGAAGAGGAAGGGAACGGGCTACTGCAGTGCTAGAATTTACCTGTTAGTTCATGTTCTAGGCCCCAGTTCGAATTATCTGCTCCAACTGCGTCCTCCAGCAGTAGCGGCTGGGACGAGACCGTTCGCTCTTCCGCGTCATTCCTTGTGCTTTCCTTACTGTATGGCACTGAACTTGTATGAAGTTGGTGTACTAATTCTGTGTTATGTTGTCTTCGCACTTGACTTGCTAGCCTTTCTGAGCGATTCACTCTTCTTCGTGGCAATAAGGATTCTGATTCAGAAGCGCGCATTACAAGCTGCGTTACCCAGATGGCTGAAAAAAGCGACTTTTGTAGAGTGTCTTTTTGTCAGAAAAACCGTTCTGCAGTAAAAAAATGCACTAATACAATTTTAAAAGAACACGCTGGGAAGTGGGAAAGTTGCTAGAGCGCAGCGCTAAAATTAGTATCTTTTGCTGGAGCTGAAAGTTCATAGAACGCAACGCATTATTTGCCCCCTAAGCATCTTTCCGAAGGGGTAAACCGCCGCTACTATATGAAATGTTAGTATAATATAAACCCAGGCTGAAACGCATCAGGCGAGCCGGTGCGATCATGTGTTTTTGCACAATGCTTGAATTAGGTCAACTGCTGTCCCTTCACACCTACGTTATGTGCCTAATGTCGAAAATCATCGTAAATTTTGCATAAAAAGAAATGAACTATTCCCGTTTGGCGGTATTTTTTGAAAATAACTCAACTGTTAATGAGATTTAATTGCCCGTGCACGAGAATCACGCGTAAATGAAGGCTGAATTTGAAGATTTAAGTCTTATTGAACGGGGAATATTCTCCAGGTTCTCGAGTTAGTCATTTACCCGCCAAAAAAGTTTCACGGGGCCGTACATGAGAACCACTTATGACTGGGGATTGAATTTGATAGGTTTATGCCGTACCTATGATTTGGAACATTCCCTGAAAATTTCAGCTTCTCAGCTTTTCTGGTTCCCGAGTTAGCCATTTTCCTGCCAAAAAGTTTCACGGGGCCATACGTGAGGACCACGGGTGACTGGGGTCTGAATTCGATAAATTTAAGTCGTATATGGGTTGGGAACATTCCCTGAAAATTTCAGACTTCCAGCTTTTCTGGTACCCAAATTAGTAATTTCCCCCCTATAACTTTCATACGCCTTTACGTGA